ACATATTTTATGGGAAGTGTCTTTCGTTTAGACCAGGGGTGTCACACTCATTTTGGTTCAGGGGCCATATCCAAAATACTTTGATCCAAAAGGGGCCGGATCAGAAAACTCATGTCATATAAACCCCAAAATAACAATAAGTTCAAATATTTGTGCAGAGAAACACAAATCTATTACAGAAATCTTTTTTAATTGATGAACTCTTTCTTTTACAAAATATTATAATATTATGAACAACATGAAACTTATGTAATTTCAACACAATGTTTTAACATGAACTTGGATGTAAACAGGAATAAGTCAATTTTTGTTGTAAAATCCTGCACTCGGCTCCACTTTTCTCATGTTGGACATTTTTCTGATGAGGGTGTCACGGTCAACAGTCAAAACGATCGTCCTTTAAGAGCGTTTGGTTTCTTCATTTGTGCTGCTCTGGTGGGAGGGGCCACGTACAGAAACGCTGCTGTGCTCAGCGACGCAGAAAATTACCAATATTTTAATAGAAAATATAATTAAAATATTTTAGTAGAAAATCAGAAGGGCCAGATTAATGGTCTTGGAGGGCCGGATCTGGCCCTCGGGCCATATGTTTGACACCCGTGGTTTAGACGGTGACGGCATTTTTGCGGCTTAAAAACACAAAAATCGGAAACCACCTCCAGAGTGGAAAAGTTGAATAGACTCCGCTGTAGTGTTTCCGTCTGCACTGCCCAAGACGCAAAACTCTGGTCAGATCTGCTCAGGTCGTGTACACGTTTACGTCACAAACATCAACACCGAGCTGCCTGACATGCAAACACAATCGAATTCCACACACTTTTGCATCACCGTATGCAGCAGATTTCCTCCTGAAAACACTCGTCTAAACGCAGGAATAAAAAGTGAAGACGCGACGCCACTTTTATGTCTTCTGTTCACAGTAAAACTTCACGCTGGAACTGTTTGTGCTGCGCTTTACTTTTTGAAGAGTTTTGTTTACAAGGAATTTATTTATTATATTTCATACATTTGTTATTTATTTGAGAATATTTAATTTAATTTATGAATAGTTAGAAGTAGGGGCGTAACGATATCCAAGTCTCACGGTACAATATTTACTGCGATATCGTGGAAAAGTTCATGATATGTTGGGGAGGTTCACGATTAGAGATGTAACAATATCCAAATCTCTCTGTTATTATATATATATATTTTCACGATGTACATCTCACGGTACGATATTTATTGCGATATTCTGAAGAGGCTGATATAATTGTAGATAGGACACTTCTTTTTGCTTTTAAACACCTTGACGAGATTTGGGCGTGAATTATTTCCATCACAATCCCAAGAATTCAAGTCAAAAACATTTCTTCACGTTGTCTACGCTGAAACGAATCATGGGAAATGTAGTTCCTAGGGGTGTAACGATATCCAAGTCTCACGATACGATATTTTCCGGATATTCATCTCACGGTACGATATTTATTGTGATATTTTGTGTTAATATTCTACTTTTTCATCTTTAAATGCCTTGACAAGACTTAATCCAAAGAACTAAGAGTTAAAAGTGTTAGAACTGTTATTTCTTCTTGTCGTCTGCACTGAAATGGAGCAAAGGATCATGGTCTATGTAGTTCTCTATGTCTTTTTTTTGAGCTATTGCTGCACCAAAACTCTTCATTTAAGAAAAGAGACTTGTAAATCGATTATTGTGATGGTCCACGATGTTATTGTGAGAACTTTGACGATATGACATCACGATATTTCGGTTTTTGTTACATCCCTGACAGTCACTGTTCAGAACCGTCGGTTTATCTTGGCCGCAGGTCGAAGTCGTCATGGTCGATATTCAAGAAGAAGGTGCATTGAATAATTCTTGAGAAAAAAGAGAAGGAAACCACTGGCCAAACCTGGGACAGATATTTACGTTCAAACACAAAATAAGGAATAACATAATAATACAAATGTTAAAACAGTAAATGTTCGTGAGCTCAGTTGTCTTTAAAATGTACAAAGTTTGTCTGTGTCACCTAAAAATCGATTCAAACAACTTAAGCTCGATTAGATTTATGACTCGTACTTTTTTACATCAAATAACTGAAAGCAACTAAGTCACTTTTACTCAATTTATATTTTAAACGAAGCACTTTTTTTTACTTTATTCGAGCAGATTTTTAGGTGGTTACTTTTACTTTTACTTGAGTAGGAATTAAGCAAAGTAAAGATACTTAAAACTCACGGTACCATATTTATTGCAATATTTTATAGAGGCAAACAAAACTGAATATTCTACTTTTTCTTCTTTAAAAAAATCCAAATAACTAAGACTTAAAAGTGTTAGAACTGTTATTTGTTCTTGTCGTCTGTACTGAAATGGAGCAAAGGATCATGGTCTATGTAGTTCCCTCTGTCTTTATTAAGCTGTCGCTGCATCATAACTCTTCATTTATACTAAAGAAACTTGTAATTCGATATATTGTGATGGTCCATGATATTATTGTGAGAACTTTGACGATACAATATCACGATTTCGATTATTGTCACATCCCTTCTGATTAGTTTTACCAAGCAGCAATTTGCGTTTATTTTATTTTCCTGTTTGTATAACGTTAAAACAATTTGTTGATTTAATAAAAACACAGATGGTTTTTGCATTTTGTTCCCAAACTGAACCAAAAATGAACCGAACCGTGACCTCAAAACCAAGATACAAACCGTTACACTCCTACTAGAGATGTGTTTTTGTTAGAAAGTACCAGTGTGTGGCATTAAACCTGCATATTATTTAATTACAGGTGTTTTTTTGTTTCTTTCAAAATAAACAATACTTTGAAAAATGTTCGTTCTGCTGTAAGGAGGGCCCGCCTCTCCACAGATCTGACCTGTGAATCGGCTCGTTGCTCGTCTTCGCAGGAAATAACAGTGAAAAATTACGGGCAAAGCAACAACATCTCCATGGCGACGGACCCTCCACCGGAAAGTTACACAGCGCATCTTTAGTTAAAGTGTTGAAAGTTGAAGTGCGTGAAAAGGTTTTGAGGTTTCTCCAATTTTTACTTAATTTGGTACGATAAGACCTGCTGAAAATATAAATTATCCTTTTATAACAATTGGGAAAGAATTTGTGAAGAAAATTTGAAAAATATGAAACTACGGGAAGTTCAGAGTTCTGTTTTAGCGAGAATTCTGTCAAAAATTCAGCACAATTTCCACAAGAAACACTTTTTTGTGACACTTTAAACGCAATTTCAACAAAAATAAAGATGTTTTTTTTTATATTTTTATTTATCAAATCTTAATTTCTGTGAACATTAGAAGAGTTTTGGTTTTGGTTTTCAGCGTTTGTGAAATTTCCTCACATTGTGTCATAATTTCCAACATATTTTTCAACTTTTCTTCACAAATTGCCTTACGATTTGCGTAAAAAAAAATTATTTATATTTGCACCAGATGAAGTCAAAATGAGAGGGTGTTTGTAAAAGCCCGTCATGCACACTTTAACTCTGCGGAGTGTGATGTCGGTTGCCGCAGTAACAGAGCGTCTCGAGAGCTTTAGGTTTAAGAACTCGTGCACGGTTTATTTCAGCTTTCAGCCTCTTACATCGAGACACATTTAATCAAACACACTTCCACAAAAAATCAATGACTTTTTTCCCCTTTTTTCAATAAATAAATTTTAAATAAATAACAAGCTTAAAAAAAAACAACAAAACATGGAAAAATAAAGCTTTTACGGATAATAAATAACAGTTTAAAATAAAATAAAATGTTTTCCCTTCATCAGTTATAATACAAAGTGCGCCACAAGATGAGACATCGTGAACAAAAACAAAGATTTGAAACATTTGAAATCATAAATTTGATTGTCATTACGTCATTGCGGTGAATTAAACACGTCGTGAATTCAACTACAGCCTAATTTCTGGTGGATTCAAATCGTTAAAAACTAAAGCCAAACTTCGTCTGTTTTAGTGAAATCACCATGACAGGAATGAGGTAGGCGCCACCTTGTGGAGAGTGCCGGTGGAGCGTGAGGACTGTGGACACAGTGACTTGTTACAGGATTATTGCGATGCATTCACTGAACTGGGACAGTGCAGGACGCCAAGTGAGACCGTGGAATTACAGAAATCACCCACAGTCTTTGAACGCCTCTTTTACGAAAACCCACATGCAACTTTGAACCAAAACCAGTTTCAGATGCTTCTGTAAATCTACAGCTCAGAGGACGAGTCTGAACTCTGGTGCTTTTGTATTTTTGAAATCCAATCATATTTTTGGCTACATTTTACATTTTTATTTCATTTTGAAGATACAGAATGTATTGACCTAATTTTGCAGATCAGCAGAAATTGAAGAAAAACAGAAATATTTTCCAGATGAACGTGTTTGTTGGTGTGAAACGCTGCTGTGTGTTTGTGATTTACAGAGAAGCGGCTGAAACTGACTCGGCCTGAACTGGACAAAACAAAGTGGAACACACTTGAACGCTGCTCCATGAAAGCAGAAACATATTCACACATATTTACAGACTCTTATAAAAAGCTCATTTGTACAATTATTGTCTTTTGGATCAGTTCCTGTTTTTGGACGGATCAGTCGAGTCAGAGTCGAGTCTTTGGCTCCAGCGGCCTCAGAATCAGAAACACTCCAGAACAAAGAAGAAGAGCAACACTGCAGTCTGAGCCTGTCACAACACTGACGCGTCATGAAGCAAAGTCTCACTTTAATCCATAAATAAATCATCAATTAATACAATTAAATATTTATATTCAGAACAGCTAAATTTAGGTTTAAATAAATCGGAGCTCCATGAACAGTGGACGTGGAAAGGCCCGGATGAACACTGACGCTGAGGCCTGTGCGCACTGAGGCCTGTGCGCGCGGCCTCGGCCTTCGCTCTGGTCAAACTTAAACCACGTGACCAGCTCAGGTCCACTTAGTAATGAAACCGTGTCCGGGCTCGTGCCTCTGACAATGGGGCGCGTGCCTTATGTGTCTGTGCGCGCGCACGTGGTTCAGTGCGTTGCGGAAAACTTCATCCTCTTCTGTTTCTGCCGCTGGTTACAGAACCACACGCGCACCACGTTTTTCTTCAGGTCCAGTTTCTCCGCGATCGCCGCGATCTTCTCTGAGGAGGGCCGCGGCTGCACCGCGAAGTACGCCTCCAGGGAGCGCTTCTCCGGGGCCGCGATGCTCGTGCGCTTCCTCTTTTTGTCCGCGCCGCTGAAAATCTCCGGTTTGGCCATTTTCTCCCGCTGCGCGCGCTCCGCCTCCTCGAGCCAGGCCTCCAGGATGGGCTTCAGCGCCACCATGTTGTTGTGGGACAGGGTGAGGGACTCGAAGCGGCAGATGGTGCTCTGGCTGAGGCAGCCCACGCCCGGGATCTTCAGGTTCGCGAGCGCCGCGCCCACGTCCGCCTGCGTCACTCCCAGTTTGATGCGCCGCTGTTTGAAGCGCTCCGCAAATGACTCGAGCTCCCGCGGGTCCGGCTCCGCCTCCACGGCCCCGGACCCGAGCGCGCCGTGCGAGGCCAGACCGTGCGCGTGCATGTTGACGGACTGGCCGTGGTGATGGTGAGGCATGTGGTTGATGGCGGACATGTGCGCGTGCGCGTGCGCGCCGTGCGTGGCCGCGGAGCAGACGTCGGGACCGGCCATGGCTCCGAGCGCGAGGCCCGGGGTCAGGTGCTCGAGGAGGTCGCCCTCGAGGCCCTGCGAGGGCTGGTGGTGCGCGTGGTGGTGTGACGTCAGCACGGACGGGTGGTGCAGGTGACCGGACGAGGACGTGGGCGTGCACGTCATGCTCGTCATCGTGGTCATGGTGTGGTACGTGGCGTCCGGTTTGAACGGGTGACTCTTCTGCGCCACGATGTCCACGGCCGCGAGGGCCTCCGCGCGCTGGAGCAGAGACTCATCAAAGCCCGCGAAGATGTTCCCCTGGAGCTGCACGAGACACGGACACAGGACACGTTAGTCTCGCGCGCACTGACCAACACAAACACAAGCGTATGTGCGTTTTTACGCACTGCACAGTCACGCACGTGTGACAGAAAAGATTAGTTCTGACCAGAGCGCGGGCCTGTGCGCATGACACGAGCCCCACGGGAGCGCGCAGCAGAGTTTAATTTAACCAAAGAAACTTCACAGTCATATTTCCTCCTCTGAGATGTAGAAGACCGAGCGAAATTAATTGTAAAACGTGCGTGAAATAATCTCACAAGTGAATCTGAAAAGTGTGTTTGGAAACATTTCCTCTGTAAATGAGTTTATTTTGTAAATGTTTGTGTGTGCGCGTGCGTTTCTCTCTCTGGGGTTTGACGCATTTTACGCACTGAAGTTTACTCCCAAATAATTGAAACATCCGTAAATTATTTATGAATCTTTTTAATTGTTAATGTTAAACGATGTCACCTTGATTTAATAATAATAATAATAATAATAATAATAATAATAATAATAATAATAATAATAATAATCATGTTTGTCTGTCACGTGTTATCGATGCAGTTACAGCAGGTTTGTCTAAAGTCTTAAATCTTTTGGGTAAATGACCTGTGGCCGAGTTTAAATCCAAGGCCTCTTGTGTGATTCTTGTTTGTGGCTCTAACTCTCTGTTTCCGCCTCGAACTCATTTAAAATTTAATATTTACGTCGCGCTCGTGAATAATTTCTGTGCGCAATCAAACTATTTTGGATCCGAAACAACGAGACACTTTACGCACGTGGCCACCGCGCGCCTCAACTGTTTTGGTGAAGTTGGTTAAAGCGACATTTCACATTATTACGGCCACACGTTTTATTTATTATGATTTATTTATTTATATGAGATCAAATTAAATGTTTTTGGTTTCTTTGTTTGTTTCTGGATGCGCAAATATAAATAAAACAAGCATCTTTGCGCTTTTGATTTTGGAGTTTTGCGTGTAAAAATTTAAACGTGGCTCAGCTTTGGAAGAAATATTTATGTTTATTTTTGTTTTATCTGTTTAACAAATTGTTCTTTTAACATTCTTTACAAAAAAAATATGAAACCACGTCAGAAAAATGCAAAGAAAGTCAGAGAAATTGAAAAGTTTAACCTCTCCATTTTGAAATTCGAAATCACCAGAATCAAAAATGAAACGTATGAGGAAAATGTGATTAATTTTATGTTTTTAAGACCTGATTCAGCGCTGGGGCTTTTCATTTTTGCTCTGTTATAACCAACAGCAGCTCAAAAAATGAAAGTTGATGCAATATTTAGGACGTGCCGCGCGTAAAGAGCCGGTGCTTTAAGTGCAGATGGATCCATATGGAGAGGTCTAATGCACAGCTCCGTCCGCATCCACAGCCTCCCGCTTCTTATGTAACTCATCACAGAGGAGCAGAGGAGCAGAGAGCAGGAGCCAAACCGCGGCTCTTTGCACCCGCAGAAACGAGAACAGTTACGTAAACATGCGCAAAACAAACCAGAGACAAACCAGAAAGCAGCACATCTGAAGAAGGCTTTGTTGTTGTTTTTTTCGCTCTTATTTTGCCATTAAAACGCGTAAAATCACTAACATTTTACCGCCTCTACGTGTAAAAACGCGTATTCTCTAAAATTAAATCTATTCACGGCAGATTTAAACGTCTTTACTAATTGGTGTAATTATAAAAACGCGAATTAAGTCGTTATTTTAACTTTTATCGCTAATAAAAACGTAAATATTTGCGTGAGTCTGAAGCTCCTTTGGCACGAAACGCGTCTCCACAAAAAAAAAAAAAAAAAAAAAAAAAACTAAAGTGCAAACCCGAAATGTGGAAACGTCTCGGGCTATAATCCGGATCGATAAAGGCTCTGACAAAAAAAAAAAAAAAAAAAAAAAGAGCTCGGATTATCGGTTTTGATTTGGCGCAGCGGTTTTGGATCATTGCGCGAAATTAACTCTCATCATGACCCGGTTATTTTTGAGATTGTGTGAGGTTTTGCGTTTTAATTTAAGGCATTTCTTTATTTCTTTATTTTATTTTTTTAAATTTCTCACTCAGCACGGTGCATTTTTACAGAAAGTGGCCAAATAAGTCGCTGTGGTTTGCCCAAAATTACAAAATTACGCGCGTCATGGAAACATTTAACGCGCGACATTTTTATCATCTTAACTAAATTATTTTACTTAATTTTTTTATTTAAATTCCTTCTTTTTTATATGCTTGCTAAGCCATTATTAACATTTTTAAATCTATTTGCTATCTCTAAAACTTAAAGGACACAATAGGATTTGGAAGTTTTAATTTATCAGTGCGTAAAAGTCACAGATTTTGGCGATGTTCCACTGTTCCATTTTTACGCACGCGTTTTAAACCAAATAAACACCAAACACGAGCGGGTCGTGAAAGCGCGTGACACTTACCGAGGGCGTGGGTAGGCACGCGCGTCGTATGGCCTCGGAGCTCGTGTGCAGAGGCGTGTACTTGGGCTCGTGCAGGATGGGGTGCACGCTGAACGGCTGTTTGCTGTTCATGGACATCATGATTGCGGAGGTTAGCGAGGGGCGCGGGCCGTCGTCCTCGAACGGATCCGTTTTGAAAGGTTTTTCTCTGAGCCACGCGTCCCGAAGCGCGCAAAAAAAAAAGTGTGCAGTGCCGCAAGGACACGCGCAAAGTGCACAACAGCCGCAGAAAAACAGAAGAAGAAGAAGAAGATGATGAAGAAGAAGCGGTAAGTCCACGGAGCGAGCGCAAGTCCACGGCGTGTGATAAAGACGCGCAGAGAAGAGACGATTTAAGAGACGGAGTGGAGAAAGGAGGGATCTGATTGGACAGGAGCGAGCAGACAGGGACCAATCAGAGGAGGCGACCCGAGGGGAGGCCACGCCCACAGCGGAGACAGAAGGGAGACGGAGCGGTAGAGATCGGGGCCTCCGCGACTGTAACACACTGGAAAGCGCCGCTGGATTAACTCCGGCTTTACTCCGGAGTTTAGTCAGTGTAAATGCGCCATGAAATCGAACCGTAAACCTTAAGGAAAAAAACAAACAAAAAAAAACAAAACAAAAAAAACACGGGAAATAACGTACGGGCCTGTTAAGAGATAAAGTGTTAAGAAATAAAAGCTTTAGGTGGTTTTATTTAAGAATAGAGAACAAAATCGATCTTTTTGACGGTATTTTTGATATTTGACTAAGTACGACCTGTTCACTAAAATGTATACTACGTTTTTTTTTTATGTTTGTCAGATGGAACAATGTACAGTTTTATTTATTTATTTATTGCACTAGTGGAGAACATTGTAAAAAATAAAATAAAATACTGTATTATGAGATTTGAGCCGTAGAGTTTTGTTGTTGTTTTTGTTTTTGTTAGACTTAGACAAACTTTATTACTGATCCACAAGGGCAATTATTTGGACACAGCGGCTCACACAAAACAATAAAATATCATAACAAAGAGTAAAACTATAAATTTGAATAAAAAATTCAAAATAATAATAAAAAAAAAAAACAATCAAGAAATAATAAAATAATGTGTCAAATAAGACATAATTATATAAATGTAAATGTACAAATCAAAATAAAAAAGTGAGTCATTGTACAGTTGTAGGGAGTATTATATGTAACATAAGGGTGAGTTGTAAAGTTGTAGGGAGTATTATCTGTCACATAAGGGTGGGTTGTTGTACAGTTGTAAGGAGTATTATATGTTACATTAAAGTGAGTTGTACAGTTGTAGGGAGTATTATCTGTTACATAAGGCTGAGTTGTTGTACAGTTGTAGGGAGTATTATTCATTATTTAAGAGTGAGTTGTGCAGATGTAGGGAGTGTTATCTGTTACATAAAAGTGAGTTGTACAGTTGTAGGGAGTATTATCTGTTTCATATAAGTGAGATGTACAGTTGTAGGGAGTATTATCTGTTTCATAAAAGTGAGTTGTACAGTTGTAGGGAGCATTATATGTCACATCAGGGTAAGTTGTTGTACAGTTTCGATCAATTATCGATCCAGGGAAATTATTTGTAACGTTGTTGTTTTAACCAATTTTAACCAAATTTAGAATATTTTTTTGAGAATAATTTACATTTTTTATGTCAGTGGCATAAATCTGTTTCAGTTTTATTGTTCATCGTCAATATTTTCTTAAGGAATATATCAAACTTCAAAAATGTGTTGTTGTGACAGGCTTCGTTTATTTTGTTTTGTTTTGGTTTTGGTTTGTTTTTTAATACCAAATTAAATCCCATAAATAAATAAATAAATAAATAAAAACTTTAAAAAACAACGTAAACAAATATTATATAATAATAACACAATATTTTATTTTAAAGCGCTCATAATTAAAATATTTATGGAGCTGTGTTTTGTTTCATTGACACATTTAACACACAAAGCTGCACATTTAGACTTTTTCTAGCTCTTCTCTTCAACGTCAAACACACTGGTCCACCTCGTGATGTCATGAAGTATTATTATATACAGGAAGTATTCCGTTGCGTTTTTTTTAAACTCCGCACACCTTCTTTCACTATAGAATCATGAATAATAATAATAATTTCAGCTCTGAGAAATTCACAATCTGTACTGAACAAAATAAAGGTAAAAGTTGAAGCTGTTGACTTGGAAACTACCACTTCATGACATCACAAGGTGGAACGGAGCATTTTGAGGTTTGGAGGTGTAGAGAGAAACGTGTGCGAGTGAAACAAAACACAACTCCGGGTCTGTTTTGTAACATTTTAACATAATTTAAAATCGATTTTCCAAAATATACAACGTTTAAAATGATGCGTTTTGTTTCTTTAATTTCTCGTTTTCGTTTTCCCGTATCCGCCTTTTTCCTCACGTATTCCACACCATTCCACAGTTGTTTATCAATGGTGAGAATCCCATTGAGTTGGCGGTAATTAATACATTTATGAATCGATGATCATTAAAGTTTGATGGTTCAAATCTCAGACCGGTGTCACTCTCTGAGACTGAATGAAAGAATAAACAGGGCTAAAGAGCACGCGGGCAGACGATCAAATATTTAGAGGAACAGTGTCGGAGGCAGCGCCGTTCTGCCGACAGAGACAACAGCGCCGACATAATTATCAGACCCAACGCTGGTCAATACTAATCAATAAATCATAGAAGACAAATGCTGCGATGGAGACGCGCACCAAGCCCGGGATGAAGGTCAGATCTGTGGAGAGGAGAGCCGATATGCAAATTGAATTATTGAGTGCGTATACATGCACATGAGTATCCCGGTTATGATCGGGTTTTTTGAGTATCCCGGTTTCTTCATGGTGCATGTAAACGCAGTAACCCGGTTTCAGTATCCCGGTTATGGCAGTATCCCGGTTATTAGAAACCAGGTTACTGCAGCTCAGTGGTGCTCAATACGTCGATCGCGATCTACCAATCGATCGCCAAGGTCGTGTGGGTAGATCGCCGTGTCTCGTCTCGGACTCGTGTTTGGACTCGGTCTTGTCTCTCACTCGAGGTGTGACACTCAAGTGTGATCATATTTCATTCCGGCCGCTGCTGTTGGTAATAAACTTGTAGCGGGTGCAGGAGCGTGTGGGGCGTCTCAGTGCAGCCTGTGCGCTCATTTGAAACCCGCGGAGACTCTACGGCGCATCACAAACACACACGCTCCCTATGCACGGCTCATCTGCGACAGCGTGTGCCCTCGTGTACCAGCGTGCATCACAGGGCAGGTTCAACTTCCTAAACATCCTACCTGTCCATCTGCCTCACGTCAGCACGCCGCCCCTCGCCTTTTCACGCTCTCGCTCCTTCCTGCGTACAGCCAACACAAGCCCCTCCCACAGTGCGGCTGATTAGAAGAGCAAGACCAAACGTGAATCAAAAACCAGTCTAAATTTGTGTTCCAGTGTTGGCACAAAGCAGGTCTACAGCATAGAGCGGATCTACAGAACAGACCTACTGCCACATTTGACTGAAGTTTGTCTAACAAAAGTGCACAAATGCATCTGTGTTTGTCACAATGTGCGTTTGGTTTGGTAAATGTGCAGAGGCTGGTAAATATCACTGCAAAACCAGAAAAGAATGAAACTCCAGTTTGGAACTTTAAAAAACAGGTTTAAAAATCTTCCTTCACTTTTTTCACAGTTTTGTGTAAAGTGCCAGAGGAAGTTCTCTTAAAGAAGAGGTTCTCAAACTGTGGGGGAGGGTCCAAAAAAGGGCCACAGAGTGTTTCAGTGCAGTTTGTTTGGCTTTGTATAGGTCGATCATTTTGACTTGGTCATTTAGTAAGTAGCTCACATGCTGAAAAAGTGTGAACACCTCTGATGTAGCTGGTATATTCCGATAGTAACCGGGATACTATGGTATGTAGACACAGTACCCCGGTTACTGCAACATAAAGTTGAGTGCGCATGCGTCCAAAAGACACTTTCCAGTCTTTTCCAGTCTCCACAACAGTCGCGAAATAAATAAAGTGACCAACATAAATTAAGTGACCAAACGAGTGAAATGTAAAATTAAGAGCTGTACAATCTGCACTCATGTGATCGCTGAAAAGCTAAAACATGAACTATCTCCTATACAACACACGCACAGAACAGACTCACCATCATCAGCACCTCTTCTGTCACAAAAAGAACACACATAATCCACTGAGTCGTGTCATTCAGTCCAAAAGAAGCTGAATCACATCAGCGGCACAAGGAGCAGCAGTTTTTATCACCGCTAACAGTTTATGCTAATTAGCCATGCGGTCTTAAGTTTTGTTTCTGTAAAACGTAAACAAATGTGATCAGAGCTGAATGATCTGATCAAACGGGCTGATGTGGCTTGAGGATTGTTGGATTGAGTTTATTTATGCAGAAGATTTGAATGAAGAATCAGTTGGGTTTGATGTGTGCAGTGGATTGTGGGAGATCTCGTAGCTCCTGAGCTTCTTATGCTAAAGGAGCTCACAGTTTGTATTTTTCTTGGTTTATTAAATTGATTTAAGTTAATTTTTGCGCTTGCACATTTGTAAGATTATGTCAAGAAACCGGGATACTCCATTTGATCATGTACACGTGGATATGAGTGTCCCGGTTTCTCAGTGCGCATGTAAACACAGTAACACAAACACTGACAGAACCGGGATATGGCTAATTATCGGGATACTGATGTGCATGTATACGCACTCAATGTATTTTTGAGCGATACATGCGTCACAAATTTTGGACTTCCGGTCTTCACGCAATTCATACTGGGAAAGATTTTCTGAAAAAGTAAGCGTCAAAACCGCCGGGGATGTGTCTATTGTCGAAGTCGATCTTTTCAAGTCTTTTGAGCCATATCACTTTTGTTTCTGGTTCTGATATTTTCATATTTTAGTTATTGGATTCGGACATTGTTAATTGTGTGGTTGTTGGATCCTAACAGCAGAAAATGAGCTTCGGAAGTTTGTGAACTCCGTAACTGCAAAAGTGAATCAGATGTGTGTGACTCAAACCTCCGTTCAAACTGTTTCTCTTCCCAACGGAATTGAAAACTAGTGAAAGGTGAAGGTGATGGGCAGGACTGATCCAC